GATGGGGTTCGTTTGTCCCCGAATTAGCACCCTTTACAACCGGATTTATGAGACTATATCATACTTGTACATCTCGTGAATGGACGGACCACAGTGTCTCTTCGGGGTTTCAGTGTGCAACCTTGTATTAAAATTCCCATAGACACTAGTGGTAAATGCATATACTTCATTTTTTTTTTTTTTTTACAAATACTCAGCACTCTCACATGTATTTAAGCTGCACAGAAAAGTGATGATCAACTTGTCATCTTTCATAAGATGGAATTTTGCGTCAAGGTGAAGATATCAAATTAGGTTTTGCCCTTCACCGACGTATACACACCTTATACTCATTGTGTTACCTCCCGAGTGAATGCTGAAATAGTTTATGCGGTACCCGCTGCTATGTACATCGATTCCAACCAGCCAACCGATCCAGCTAGCTCGGTGGTCAAGTGGTAAGACGTCTGCACTAAAAAGCAGGCGGTCGTGGGTTCGAGTCCCACCCGAGTGCTTTTTGCCAACTTTCACTCGGGAGGTAACACACTGAGTATGTAGTGTTTATACGTCGGTGAAGGTCAAAACCTAATTTGATGTCATCTTTCATTTTCTTTTCTTTTTTTCGTGGTGGGTAAATTGACGGCCCTTTTTTTCCAAAAAGCGGAAAAGTAGCCATCTTGAAAAACGATCCCTATACAACATGGCAAAGTAGCGCACTTTCCAGCTCAAGTGTATCCAAAATGCTCAGAATTGAAAGTCCAAAGTCCGGACCAGAGGTTTATTGCCATATCTTTTGAATTTCCCAATTTTATGGCTCTCAGAACTCTCTAAAATAGAATATTTTGAGGGTATAACTTGTATTCATTAGCTCGGCGGAAGGATTTAGACCTATTTATCGGTGTGCACCCTTAAGTGTGACGAGAATCGCGGGCTTTTCTGTCGGATGGGTGCGGTCCAGTGTTCACACTGTTCCGTGAAGGAGTTTTACATCGATATGAAAACCAGGCTTTACGTACATTGTCACCCTTCCTGGACAGCTTTGTTGGCGGTCTGTTTATGTCAAGAATTATGATGTATAAAATGAATTCACAATAGACATCTAAAGGCCGGCTCAAACTGTACGCGAATTTTAATGCGAAGCGAATCAGTTAGAGTAACGGTGAACATGAAACATAATCTGTTATTGATGTCGTGAATGAATTGGTCTTAATTTCGTATGGGCAAATACGACTTGAGCGTATCCCACTGCAGAAAAAAATACTTATTAGAATGAGCACATGACTTGTGCAAAATGTCTACAGACTAACGAAAATTCAATTCTTAAACATACTCTCTTCCTTACTTTGACGAATCTGAATGCAATTAACGGCAATGAACTTGTTTTTCGGAAGGATAACCAGTGGACCTTTTGATAATGAATTGGCAGGAAATTCAGTTCTAGTGGTGCGGCATAGGGACCGAATTGTGCATTTTGTGATAATTTAAGCATGAAACTTGGCTTGTGAGGTCTTCATACCATGACAAATAAAAATTTAGATATGGAGGCATTTCATGTGAATTTAGTCTATATATAGTCTTCATACAATGTAAATAAAGAACAAAAAATCACCCTTGACCTCTAATGACCTTCCAGAGGTCATTGACCTTTGTAAAGTAACTGCACTAAATCTATTTATAGTTATTTACAAGATTATACCCTTTAAACCCCATTTACATCAGACCCAAGTCTTAATGTTAAGTGGATCATGCTACAAAAAGAATTTCATAAGTAGGGAATCTCATATCTGACCTCTGATGGCATTCAAGAGGTCTATTAAGCGTATCTCATGTATAGATAATAAGAACATTAGTTATTCAAAACCCCACTTTTTTATTACCCATATCCACATTTAGGGTATTCTTGGCATGATATACATTTTCAGATATGTAGACAGTTCATAATTGACCTCTTATAACCTTTACGAGGTCAATGAACGTTGTATACTCTGATTGCCGTTATTTATCATGTTCAATCTTCCAACTGCCATTTTTGTTCATACCCAAAGTCGAATTAGAGCAAAAAGAAAGTATTTTAATAATTATTCTACAGCATATCATGAAGTCAGACCCCAAGATATTTTTGCATGACGTCTGATCTCAATTTTCAATTTGATAAGGGCAGACGCAGAGTTAAATAATATAAGCGGACAAGCATCACTATCTAACAGTGATCATTGGGCTCGGTAAAAAGGTTAAAACGTGGCTATCCAAGTCCATCTGGATACAGAAGGGTGTAATAAGTACACAAGAGTGAATATTGCTTGATATTTGTACATTTTCCATTAAAAAACAGACCAACACGTTTCTATTCCTATCTCAATAAAACAAGGAGAAACGAGATCAGAGGTCACCTCAAATTGTTTGTGGGGTCTGAATTAGTAACATGACTGTACACTTAAAGGTGGAATACCGTTCTATGGCACTATTGAGGCTTGGGTCACAAAAAAATGGCGTTTTGATGAGTACATATGATAAATAACGGCAACTAACATATACAAAGTTCACTGACCTATCCAAGGGTATCAGTTCGTCGAATATGATGTCCCAACATCAGAGAACAAAATATGGCACAAAGAGTACATTTTAAGACTTGGGTAATAAAAACAATGGCATTTACAATTGTGTAAATCTTATTAATATTCATCGGAAGGCTATGGTTTTCAAAGGTCATGACCTCTCATTAGGTCACCAGAGGTTAGATATGAAATGGCCTATATATGCAAATTCTCTTTGTAGCATGAACTCCTTTCATTCAAACATGAATCGTGAAAAATGATGGAGTTTAAAAAATAAATTTAACAAATAGCTATAAACAGGTTTACAAAGGTCATTGACCTCTTAAAGGTCACCAGAGGTCGGATATGATTTGTTCTCACATCTGATCATTATTTTCATCGTAATGAAGACCTATCACATAGACTTGGGTCATATGAAAGTGAAGTTTTGAATAACAAGAGTTATGAATAGGGTATGAAAAGTTCATTGACCTCTAAAGGTCGCCAGAGGGTAAATATGAAATGCTTCTATATCTGAAAATTGTCTGCATGGCATGAAGAACTAACAAGCGAAGTTTCATGCTTTTATCACAATTTGCACAATCCTTGGAATGTTGGGGATATGCCGCACCATATATGGGTCTATATACATTTTTTATTTAATGTCTTGCAGTATTCACCTCGGTGTCTGCCAGGGTCTGTGTTCTCGGCACGGAACCAGACCCAGCCGATGGCGGCAGGATCAAGCTCGTCCTGCCGGTTATAGATCCCTGTACGTGCACGGAAGTCAGACTGGGCGGTCACAACGCCTATGCGCCGCAGAGGCCTGACGGCGCACGGTTCATCGACATTCGCCACCTCAAGGAAATCATCCCAAATGGACTTGCCGGATTCTATCATTGCGTGGCAACGAAGGGCGACGTAGTCTCAACTGATAATCCGAGAGGTAATTTACACTCAATCATTTAATCCTATTGTCCAGAGTTTTAACGAGTCACTGATTTCTGCGACTCGATTCGTGTCGAGTCATTAGGTGAAAGAGGTCGAGTCGAGTCACAGAGTGTAGTCGAGTCGAGTTGAGTCGAGTCACGTATTTAGCTCGAGTCAATTCGAGTCACAAATACTCAGTGTGGCGTACCCAGGATTTGGGATTGGGTGGGGGGCTAAAAAAATTCAATAAAGTTACTTTACATTTTGGCCGAGTTTTTTTTTCCGGGGGGGGGGGGAGGCTATTTTGACGGTGGTGGCGCCACTTACACCCCCATTATACTACTAAAAAAATATGCCACATACATATCACCAAGGTCAACTCGTGGGATTTAAAAATAAATTAAAAAAAAAAAAACCTCTTGGGGGAGAGGCCCCCCCCCCCTCCCCTTTGGTGCACCACTGGCTTGGGTATAACCTATCTTTTTTCGCGTGCTCTTCCGACAAATATGGAAGAAAGTAATTTCACCACGCAATTTCCGATAGACTTTAAAAAAAATAGGACAGGGTAAAAATGTGTCTGGGCTTAACGGCATTGATCCTTCAAACTCTGCCAAAATAGGTTGAGGCATTCGGATTTAGAGGATATGGGCTGGTTAGGTTTTAACATTAGAGAGAAGTGGGAATCTAATTGGCCTAGAGAGCGGGCAACAAAATCTTCCCGACGAATTAAGATTTCTGAAGTAGGCCTGTTTTACTTAGGCCAAAAGAAATACTCGGTCTCTGTCTGGTAAGCGCGCGCGTCGATTTTAATCATGCTCGTCAGTCTTTTTTTCTCTTCAAATTACACGGAAGCTACAACAGCGCCCTCTATTGCTGCATCTCCTCATTTTTTGTACCAAGGAGCACGGAGGAATGAGGAAATTCCACCAAGGCAAATGATAAAGGGCAATAAGGCAAATTATGGAGGACACCAATGTATAATGAGGACACAAAACAGCAAAATAGTACCCACCTTGTCTGCACAATTCAAGCTTAAAAAAAGCCAAAAAAATATTGCGTCGCCGCATCAATTCCGGAACTTCGGTCTGACCAGAGACCGACTTGTTTGGCTTTACTATCACAATTTTAACGGAGATGACAAGAGCGGGGCCCAATTTCACGGCGCTGACGTTGCTTAACACAAAAAAAACCTTAGCTTATAAAAGCAATTTACCAGCCAAAACTCAAGGTGATTTTCATGCTTCAGCAAACAACATCTGAATACCAATCACGAGCGATATACATCACATGGAGTTTTTGGCTGGTAACCTTCTTTTATAAACCAGACTTTGTTTGTGCTAAGCTCTTTTTTTTTTGCTTAGCAGCGCCGTAAAATTGGCCCCTGCAGGTCCCCAAAGCATTTCTTTAACTTTTTGTTTAAATCATGAAGAGTGTAGCTAAAGTGCATTCTGCTGAAAGAGTCACCAACATTCAGCTGCTTCGTGTGATTTTCCTGAACAGTGTCGACGCCAGAGGTGACCACAGTTTTTCCCAAGTCGATCCCTAAAAACACCACGGATGTCACCGGGTCGACTCCTGAAGTCTCCAAGGATACCCCAGAACCAACTACCAGCGGCACCACAAATGCCAAAAAGTCGACTCCCTCGGGATCGCCATTCGTCGTATCAACTCCTGCCAACGAGGCACCAGTTCTCGTCCATCCCTGAGCCGACAGAACCGCCTGCAGATTGTCAAGAGATCTTGGATGCTGGTCAGAGCACTAGCGGTGTGTATACAATCCTTCACGGAGACCAGGATATGCAGGATATGCAGGTCTACTGCCGCATGGAGTCAGGGAAAGGATACATAGTGAGTATATATTTCCATATTTTCTCAAAACAATGCTGTTTTTTTACGAGTACAACATGATTTGAGAGTTTGTTTCCGGTCTCCTAGAGGTATATAAAGTGACAAAAAATCATGAGGCAAACTTTCTGTTAATTTCAAGTACCGAGCACGGTGATGCTGTGCAACACGAAAAACAATATGACTAGGCCTACTGTAAAATAATGAAACGTCAGTGCATACGCGTAAACTGTTACTTACTGAACCGGTAGCAATTTTACAAACGCACTTGAGCATGAGAAGCTGCACCATGCATCTGTAAATGTTTATATCTGTCCTTATTTCTTCTATTAATTTGACAAGTTTATATCTGCAATTCTAGCGAAGACAATCATTTGGGCTTTCCAGCTCGATTTGCTCCACCCAAAATACAATAAAAGCTTGCCACAGACAATCACTGGTTAGTTTGTTATGCAAGTTGATGTCTGACCGTCAGATATTTTTTTTCAACACTGTTCCCAAAATACTTTTAATAGGTGTTGGATTCGGTAGTGCATTCCAAACAAACGTTAAAACCGAACAAGGATATTAAAGTGAGGTGGTAAACGTATCCCAGTTTTACCGTAAATCATATCGTTTCTGACAGGTGTTTCAGAGACGCCTGGACGGCTCGGTGAGCTTCAACCGAACCTGGCAGGAGTACGCCGAGGGATTCGGGGATCTGACCGGAGAGTTTTGGCTGGGCAACCAGAAGCTGCGTAGTCTGACTGGTAACGGGGAGTGGGAGCTGGTCATCACTCTGAGGGCGTTCGATGGGGAGGAAGCCCGTGTTCGTTATGAGAAATTCGGATTACATTGGTACATTTACTGGCTTATCGTCAGTGGCTTCACTAATGAGGCTGGAGATGCAGGTACATAATACCTCGGTTTTTGTTTTTAGTGTCCTTTCCTGTAGAACCTCTCCTATGACCCAGCATGGTTTAAACTAAGCTGCTCATCTAATTCTAATCATCAACAACCAAAAAAGAGCGGAAAATCCCCATTTACTTTATTTTTTGTTAATCTGCAGGCGATAGTCTATTTCTGCCTTCATCCCGAATTAATGCTCTATTCGGCCCCTTGTCTATTAATCGAACACAAATAAATAGCGTACAATGAAATATGTCTAAAATCAGTAGTGTAGGGGAGATTCACGAGAATATCATCAAAATGTCCGGCCATTGGAAACTTATTAAGTGGGCTGCATGTACCGTTGTAACTAATTTTGTTTGATGACCATGCATCATTTCAAGTTTGAACAAATTCATTTAACCATGTTTGAAAAAAAAGAAAAAGGAGATTATGTATGTCTAAAAAAGTGAATACAAATTTGGAAATCAGTTGAAACGTAGTGTGTCAGTGTACGTGACCGTGTAAATACTGCCTTATGGTACCGGAGCAAAGGGCGGTATCCCACAAGGAATGCCCTTCGACTTGCGGGGTACCGTTTTGGTACCACACAAGTTTTTTCACGAAATAGATATATGGGTTTTACGCAAAAACTAGGAATTTTCAAGGTGGGTTGATCCGTCGCAAACGGAAGAGTTTTAAAAAAGGGATATTAAGTCCAAATTTCATCCCAGGAAATTAATTCTGGTTAAAATAAGAGCATTTTGAAATTAGTGTGCGACATTGCACAATTTTTGTACACGAGAACAAAGGACTTCTATGCCTTTGTAAGCGTGGATGAACATATCCATGCGCACATTAGTCATCCATTACCTAAGCTATACAGGTCTGACGATCTTCCTTTATTATGCACACAGGTGATTCACTCGGGCGTCAAAAATTTAGCCGCTTCTTAACTCGAGATAAAGACCAAGACAACGACAGGGAAAACTGCGCTGAGAAATTCCACGGAGGCTGGTGGTACGACGGCTGCGGTAGCGACATCAGTGACTGGTTCCAGAGCAACCTGAACGGCTTGTACTACAACAACGCAACGGTCGATGATTACATGGGCATACAGTGGGTCACATGGAAGGGTAAACAGGTCTCTCTCAAAGGATCGGAAATGATGACGCGACCCAAAATGTAAGCGTAACCGGTGACAGAGAGGATCCTTAACGAGGCAGCAGTGCAATAAGGGGGTATCATAACGGGGGCCTAGCACTAAGCTTGGAGTGCTTTAAATTGAGACTGTTTACTTCGTATAACGTTTTGGTGGAAAAAAAGTCTGAAAAGTGGAGAGGGTAGATCTGCAATTGATCAGCAATGTGCGGTACTTTATTTCGTGCAGTATATTTCTTGAAACGGTTATGTGAAAAATATTAAAAGGGCATGACTCTTCTTTTCACTAAAGCGATTCGTAAAAATGTTTCTTGATTTTGTGAACGAAAATTATGATTGTTGTGATAATTTTTAGGACAAGTAGATTCAGTGTATTTGATGTCTCAGCAGCATGATATCAGCTGTCAATTTTAACCCCAAGATAACTTGGTGGAATCTGTTCCCTTTTTGATTTTTGTGTATTACAGCACCACACTATTTTCTTTCGTTATATCCAGCGATTATCCGATAACTGAACCGCCTGCAGATTGTCAAGAGATCTTGGATGCTGGTCAGAACACTAGCGGTGTGTATACCATCCAGCACACACGCCAGAATATGCAGGTCTACTGCCGCATGGAGTCGGGGAAAGGATACATAGTGAGTAAAGTTATACCCTTTTCCCACTACCGAATCTCCGGGTTATCTCGGGGGTAACGGCGAACCTAAACCCCGAGATCCCCCGGGGCGGCGCGAGCGTTTCCACTGCTCTTTTCCTGTCCGGGTTAAAACAAAATAATCGGTCGTTACCACGGGGTACGTAAACCCTGCCAGCAGGGTTTATAAGTGCGATCTCGGAGTTAACGGCCGAACCCCGGGGTACACATTGTAGTGGAAAAACGCAGACATCCATGGGCATTCTCAGGGTTTAAATAAAGTCCAAATTTTGCCGTTTTCTAAAATCAAATTCCGTTTTCTTAAAATTGGAAATTCCGTGTTCTTCGGATTTCTTTAAAAAAAAAACACAAAAACACCACGATCACACACAACACTCACTTGAAGTTTCGATCTAGAGATGTCACCGCACGCAGTACGCACGTACGAGGTAGCCTGGCCCGTAAGGCCGTGGGGCATACAGAAACTCGTGCATAAATACATACACATACATACATTATCCATGGCATACATTATCCATGGCATACAATGCAATGTCGTTCTGTGATGCGTAATTCATGACGGACGGCTTGCCTGTGCACCAATCCGGGACCACTGTGTACGCGGTGAGAGCCGAGTAGGTCGTTCAGCAGTTGTGATAAAATGCGGGCGATGTGACACGAACTGCTGAATTTTTACATGAACACGGTTGTAAGGCTTAATACAGCAGTTAATTGGTTAAAATTAATTAGTAAAGATATGTAGCTCTTCGTGAAAACGCAAATTCAGGTTTCCGACATATTGACCCTTTCTGTTCATATTGGCCCTTTCGTGAGTACGCGCGCGCAGCTGAAAATGTTACAAATATATGTGGCTCTTCGTGCGGAAAACGGAAATCTCATTTGGCCTACTTAGTAGTTTTACCAAGTCGGGTGCGAGCGTCCGTGTAGTGGGAAACCATCCGCGGTTAACTCGGGGCACACAAGCCCCGGGTTTACTGATATTCCGGGTTAATTAAGCAAATGGGAACAGAACTCAGGGTTAACAAACCCTGGGGTAAGAAAAGCTTTACCCGGGGCAGCAAAACTCAGGGTTAAGCACTTTGTAGTGGGGAAAGGGTATTATTTATTCACTTTAAAATCTTGCTGTATTTTATAAGTCAATAGCGGTTGTATGGATTCTAATTTCGTACTCAGAAGAATTGAAAATTTAGAAATAAGTTCTAGGGGCAAAACTTTCAGTACCAAGCAGTTGTTTCGGAATTAGCAAACAATTACATTTGTACAGAGTTGTAACGAGTCACTGATTTTTGTGACTCGAGTCGAGTCGAGTCGTTTTGAAGAAGTGACTCGAGTCTAGTCGAGTCATTAGGTCAAGACGGTCGAGTGGAGTCGAGTCGAGTCACAATGTGTAGTCGAGTCGAGTCAAGTCAGGTATTTAGCTCGAGTCAATGCCAGTCACAAATATTTGAACACTATACAATAATTAAACACAAGAGAGAAAGTCATTTTTTGGCTTTTTAAATTTTACATTCGGGCTACTACATGTGGCGACACCACATTTGCCTCTTAATGAAAATAAAAAAGGGGGGCCAGCTCATCGTCATTCAACTTAAGCCCGGTTCATACTCTGTGCGAAAGCGAAAGCAAACGCGAATTTGTGACGTCGTGGCAGGTATTTGCGCTGCGAATTCGTAAAAGTTAAACATATTTCAACTAGGACGAATTTCGCAGCGAATGTTTTATGACTTCAAATTCGCTTCGCTTTCGCATGAAGTATGAACCGGGCTTAATGGGGATCAAACCACTGATCAAACCACGTATGTTTAATGTATACATTATTCGCGAAAATTCTAACGTAACGTGAACAAAAAAAAATATTGTTCGCAAATATTTTTCGCAAAGTTTTGCTTTTATTTTTGGGACTCGGACTCGAGTCTCATTAGCCTTCCTCGAGTCGAGTCGAGTCATTCTGATGAGGGACTCGAGTCGAGTCGAGTCATTTGCTCGCAGTGACTCGAGTCGAGTCGAGTCATTTGCCCTTAGGGACTCGAGTCGAGTCGAGTCACTAAAAATGGTGACTCAAGTCGGACTCGAGTCGAGTCATTGACTTGAGTCATTACAACTCAGCATTTGTAGTAGTAAGTCCGTGCATACGGGTACCGTTACAATAACCAGTAATTGTAAGAGTAACAAAATCACCCAGAGATTGGAAATTTGCACCATACAAACTGCATGAATACTTGTCCGTTGCATCTGCAAAGTCCTATATGTTGTACAAAACTGCGTTTCCATTGAAATGAGTTATATGGGCTCTCAAACTCCATATTCTCTCCAGCGGAATTTACAAATATTCTTAAAACATTTTGCTAAAGATGTATTCTCAAAGCTTGTAAATTATGTCCTCAGTGGATGTCTATAATATTTAAACTGTTCTGGAACAAATTAGGTCTCTCATCGTATACAGATGTTTTGAACCGCGCTTTGCAAAACGTTTAATTAACTTTAATCCCAACGAATCTATAACGTATTGCTTGGTTTGTTTCATTATAACCGTTGTTCATAAATCGTTTCCGACAGGTGTTTCAGAGACGCCAGGACGGCTCGGTGAGCTTCGACCGAACCTGGCAGGAGTACGCCGAGGGATTCGGGAATCTGACAGGAGAGTTCTGGCTGGGCAACCAGAAGCTGAATGGTCTGACTGATAACGGGAGGTGGGAGCTGGTCATCACTCTGAGGGCGTTCGATGGGGACGAGGCCCGTGTTCGTTATGAGGAATTTGATTTACGTTGGTACAATTACCGGCTTAGCGTCAGTGGCTTCACTAATGAGCGTGGAGATGCAGGTACATAATACCTCGGTTTTTGTTTTTAGTATCCTTTCCTGTAGAACCTCTCCTATCGCCCAGCATGGTTTAAACTAAGCTGCTCATCTATTGTAAGCCCGTATTCGTTATGGGGTCTTCAAAGTAGTTCGATATGGGCAATTCAAAATACACCGTAATCAATATTACACGCTTCATGCCGATGACTTCAGTGAGGAGAGCGGAAATGCAGGTACATATACGCTGCATGTTCAGTTTCATTAAAGACCTCTCCTTTAACAGAACATGTCTTGTATTGTTGCCTACGATATGATTCTAATTTAATTGCGCTGCTTTCATCCAGTTACTCAAAAAAAAAAAAACCCACACACACAACTAATACCTTATTACTGATTGTTTTATAATAGTTTGTGGCTCCCCCATCCGGCTTTAACCATTCATTCATTCAATTGTACGTTAACTCAATTAATACAATGACCAAAATCAGTAGCGTAAACTGAAACAAAAATGTATTCAGGGAGGTTTACGGGAAACTCGTTACAATTTCCCGCCCATGGATGCTCATGAAGCGGATTGGAAGCACCGTTGAACTGTTGAATAGTGTTTTTGATGTCCCTGTAGCATCTCATCAGTAATTTCGTCATGATTCAATGCAGATACCATGTGTAACTAATTAAAACATGAAGAGAGGAGCCCAAGTCTAAAAAAGGAAATTAAAGAAAGGAAACCGCTCAAATGCTGTTGTCATAAGTAGTCTCTTAGTGAAAAGGTCCATTCAGCATTCGTCATGAAGCATTCAATTCAATTCAATTCAATTCAACTCCATTTATTCATTCATTATGCCAGCCTGAAATTCTACTTCTTGGTTTACACATACAAAATTAAACACCAACGATACAGAAAATTGAATATGTAAACATACAGTGGTATACGTGTTAAACAATTGAATGAAAAGGCACTAAATTAAATTATAAAATTGTTTCTCCAAATACAGTCAAACCTTAAAAACCACATATGGACCACATTGAACGGGCTGTGCATTCTTATGCACACAGGTGATTCATTCATCTCTCATGGTTCTTCCTCATGCGTGCAGGTGATTCACTAAAAAAACACAACGGCGAACCCTTCTCAACCCGAGATGTTGACAACGACGACTCCCTGGAAAACTGCGCTCAGAAATTCCACGGAGGCTGGTGGTACAGGGAGTGCAATGGCAACAAATTCAAGAGCAACCTGAACGGCTTGTACTACAACAACGCAACTGTCGATGATTACATGGGGATACAGTGGGTCACCTGGAAGGGTAAACAGGTCTCTCTTAAACGGTGCGAAATGATGACACGACGCAAACTGTAACCGGTGATCGAAAAAAATCAATCATATTGAAAGACAAAAATAAAACCAAGGGGATAGAGGGGTCGCCGGGCTTCACCTCAGAGTTTTTCGATAGAAAAAAAAACAAACTTTAAAGTTTTCTTGGCTAAAAAAAGACAGCGTGAAAGATAAATTTGGTATTTAAAAAAATGCAGTAGTGCAACATTAAGAAATAGTACTAGTATATCAGCATAGGGAAAGCTCATTTTTTTCTCACTTTTTCAAAAACACATTAATTAACACAGATACTGTAGTGATATTTTTTTTTATAATGCTGTATAATGGTTGCGTGTTTAACTCGCTTTTTTGGGGGAGTAGTACATTTTTTGGGGTAGTACAATAGATAAAATTAACCACTTGAGTTAAAATATCGATCGAAAAACAAATCAGCCACTTTAGTTCTAGTATAAGTTTTCCACAAAGTTCAAAATTTTTGCAGGCTGACACTTATTTAGTTTTCACAGGGTATACTGGTTCCAGCCAGCTTATATAAACGATAATAATGTAGGGATCGGGTACCAGTCTTCTTGCAAAAAAAGTTTCCCCTGAATTTACATACAAAGGTGAACATTTGTTAGCAGAAAGCAATACATTTGTTGGAGAGAACGCAGAGTACATATAACCTGAATGGGAAGCCAACATTTCAATCGGTACCCGGTACTGCACTGGTACGGTTTCCTGAGGTGCAGGCTTACATCCAGCTTAACTTTTCTGTTTAGCTGAACTCTGATAGAGAAGTAAACGTAAATTGAGTCCGTTAACCACCGTGGTTAACCACTAACCACGGGTTAATCAGTCAACCTTTGTTTCGAAGTCAGCAATTTTGTAAGTGTTGCATAAAAACAGAAATCATGAAGCGCAGTTTCTGACCGATAGTCATATTAATATAGGCTGAACGGGAATATGCCTATATTATTTGAAACGGCTTTGCGGGAAATATACTTAAAAATGAGGATTTTTAGCTTCGTAGCGATTCTTAATAGCTCCACTTGATTTGTAAATAATAATATTGTGTTTTCAGTGCATGTTGATTCAGTGTATTTGATGTCTATCATAACATCAATATTAACCCTAAAAAGAGCTTAGCGGAATCCTACACTGTTATTTTTTTTGTTTCTGATTTCATCATGGTATCCTTGATTGTAACAAGCAATAATCTTCTGAAATCATATATTCTTGTTTTTATCAAGCAATAATGACTTTAAGCACTTGTTGTTACCTGTGGATACACCAAACTTAAAGCTCAGTACGTCACAAACGGCAGCAAATACAAATGAAATGGGAAGAACAAACGACAAGCCAAAAAGGATGGGATACAGTCAACAATCAGCATTTAAAGAGGCGGGGAAACAATGATTTCAATTCATAAAAACGAAAGTGCACGACTTTTTTATTATGATTCAAAGTCAAACAAAATCAGAGGGAGAATAAAAACTAAAGTAAACGAATTTAATATAAATTGTATTCAATCGTCAAGAATCGGCAGATTCTTACGTAAGTAATGAATAAGTGAATGCCCAGTGAAATGAAGAAAACGTAAGAGGCCGGGTTGCTCTGTTAACCGATAAGGGGGTGGCGTGACTATCATGAACGGCATCCTGTCACACGTCCAGTCTCGGGATTCCGAAGTGTGGTCTGTGTCCAATCGGGGGGGGGGGGGGGGGGAGAGCTTGGCTGACTTGACCGAAGAGACCGTACGACTTTACAGGTCACGAGGGACTTACACGGATAGGGTGTCATACCCGTGCTAAAAAAGTTCATGCTGTTTCAAAAAGAATGGCGGGCATTCTTGACATTAAATCCAAAAATATAGATATTTTCTTTAGAAATATCTCCATTACAGGGATTAAATGTTAACTTTGTACACGTCTGAACAGAGATATATCTATTCCTAATAGAGATATCTCTCTATTTTGATTAAAAGTCAAGAATGCACGCCATAGAAAAGTAATCAATTTTTTAACCTTCGGTACATTTTGACCGAAAAGGTTTAAAAAGTAATGATGTTTAAACCCAATTAGGCGCTATAATAGCCCTCGCCTCCGGCCTAGGTCATTTTTCCTCGGCAATGCCATTGTACACCACATGTTCATATCTGCTTCACCACACGTTTGTTTGCGATAAGAACAATACACGGTTGCAGGGCAAAAAAAATCCCCACTGTTCAGGCGCGGATCCCTCAGCTCTGTCCAAAAAAAAAATCACACAAATTCCTAAAAAATAAGTCGAACCCCCCCCCCCCCCACACCCCCAAAAATTATTTAATGTCCGCCTGTTCAAAATACGGTACACCATTATGTAATCTAGTGTTAATAATCGTCGAATTTGAACAGCGTCCCCTATTGAAATATGATACCAGCCCCCCCCCCCCCCGCACCCAGTTTTTGAATTTACGGGGCCAAGTGCCCGGAAAAGAAAAGCTGTGTACATTTTCAGATTGTTTTTGCTGATGAACCCCCCCCCCCGCGAAAATTCCTTGATCCGCCCCTGGGATTTTCAAGCATCGCTCATTGTACATACTTATATATAATTAATTCAGTTTAATCGAGTGTGATTGTTGTCGATTGTATTGTGTGCATTTACATGTTATCAACCCTGTCAGAACCAGTTTATTTTGGTTATTTATGCATGGTAATTTACACATTTCTGGGCCGATTTTCCAAACGATTTCTAGAAAGATTCCAGATTTTTATTTTGTTCTCATCATGATTCTCCCAACCCCAACCAAAGGAAAACTCAAGAACTTTTCCGGTGAATTTGTAGTTGACCTTTAATGGCCCCTACATGAGCTTTGCTCTGCACTATTCGAAGAAAAAAGTGTGTCGTCCCACCCTTGGGTCACTGCATCTAGGTTTCACGAATTACATCAGAGCATGTACATTTTGCGTGTGTGAAGTGCATACATTATAGGTTTTCCTGGCTATTTTCAAAAGTTTATCATTCAAATTCAAAGTTACTTATATTCAAATTCGTCCATCAACATCGATTTTAGTGCACTTCAAATGTTTAATTTCGTCTTTTGTCAGACACTTTTCAATTCAGTTCAAGCAAATTCAAACAAGGAGCACACGTTTTCGTTTTCGATTGCGTCTCGTCTACGCTAAACCTTGTTAGTCAGAAATCAAATTCGTCTCATTGATTCATGTATGACGAATTTGATCTCTGCATGCTGCCATTCGGCAACAGCTTAGACGAATTTGATATCTAATGACGAATGACTTCTGTCAGACAATTTAAAATTCAGTTTAAGCAAATTCACACAATAAGCATACGTTTTCGTCCCGGAGTATTCGATTTCTTCTCATCTACGCCAAATCTTGTTATTCAGAAATCAAATTCGACTAATTGATTTATACAAGACCAATCCGATCTCTGAATGCTGCCATCCGGCAACAGCTAAGACGAATTTGATGTGTAATGACGAATATTGTCGAGCCGTTTACTAAAGAGGGTGACCAAACTCTAAAATTGAACATAAAAGACTTTTTTGAAAGCGTGTGAAATTTTCGTGGACGAAATTGAATGACAGAGATGTTGAATTTGAATGAAAAATCTGTTAAAATGGCCGGGAAACCTATAATAACCAAACTTTAAACACACAGGTGTACAATATTAGAGAAAATCTGGGGCTGGTGGGCCTAAGTGTCCCCCAAAAGAAGTTAAGGCGACTCATGAATGACATCATTTGGCTGAACTGTGGCTAACACTAAAGGTGGTAGTCTCATTTGTTGTCAAACATATTTTGAAAAAGTAACATGTTGTGTACTTGCGCCATTATTACATCTGCTCAGTCAGTAACCGGCACTGAATTTGTGGGGCTCCAATTGCAAATTGATACGAGGATTTATACTTATTTAGCTTTCCTAATACACGACTTTAACAAACGAGCTTTCAAAAGTAACATAATCATGCAGAAAAAAAGATGAAAATTAAACAAAGCCTTTTGCGACGATAGGGGACATAAATTTGGATTCCCAAATGCGCCGCAGTTGATCACGTGACCGAAAACAGGCCAATGTGGCCCGGGTTCTGATAGGGTTGAATTCATGATAGATATGAAATTAGTTAAATATCGTTTCACATAGCTCTTTAAATACGCTGTAGTTGAGATGTAAAATTGTTTCTGTTGACGTGCATTCTAAGGTAATGTACAACATTTGCAAGCATCGAAAGAGTGAAACTACCAATTTATTATGAATCACCGTAGTAGGCTGTAAATCATTGCACCTGGTACGCTGTCATTGTTAAGAAGAGTGGATTTTTTCATAACTTTCCAACAATGGTTAGGCCAACCATCGTTGAAAAAAGCACTTTCTTTAAACACTACCCAATTGCAACGGACACAAGTAAGATACCTTTTCATGGACATATGCCAGCTAGTCTAGTTCTCTGACCTGATACTTCCCTGACGTCTATGAAATGTCCCGATTCAGTTGAAGCGTAGAGTCAGGGAATCCGACTACAAGAACAGCATTTTGTTTACTTGTTTTTGTTTTCTCCGGAATCTATAAACCCAAATCTTTAAACAGGTCAGTGGAACGATACTTGCTATAACATTCTTACCCCAAAATTACAGCCAAATTCAAAGTTGTACATTACCTTTTACATTTACCATTTCATATTAAATGTTAAAAAGATAGTTAGCAAAGTCTTGCAAAAAAGTAAAGCCTTATTCATAATAAGTGTGACGTCGTAAAAATGTGACTTTTGTCGAGTAGAACAAGAGATTTTAATCTGCTTTTCAGTGTTTTATTAATCATGTTAACAATAATAATTATTCAAAGCGCAATATTATCAAGAAAGTATTCACTGTTGGCTTTTAAGTTACATGTTTAATTTAGAAATGATTTATATATGCCATTGCCTCATGGATGATGGGTTTCTCATAAGTGACTGAATTTGATCAATATGACGTTACTGTTTTGAAGTTGTACCGCACTTTAGACGGAACTTGTTGCCATGCGTTGTCAGTATTGAAAAACATACTTTGGGAATAAAACGAAATCCGCTTAATGGCAATCCACTGGTCGACAGTTCAAAGCCCTCTCCAGTTTATTTCTTGTTCAAATGTAAAATAATTAAAATGCACCCAGTCAGTTTCGCTGTGTTGATTAGGCCAAAACAAAAATAAGTCGGTCTCTGGTCAGCGCGCGCGTCGATTTTAATCATGCGCGTCGATCTTTTTTTTTCCAAAGTGTTCCGCGGTAGCTCCAACAGCGCCCTCTATTTCCGCCCCTCCTCAATTTTTTTTACCAAAGAGCACTAAGGAATGGAAAATTGCACCAAGGCAAATGATCGAAAGCACCAAGGCAAATTATGGAGGACACCAATGTACATGAGGACACCAAAAGCAAAATAGTACCCCACCTTGTCTGTACAATCCAAGCTTGAAGAAGAAAAAAAAAAAAAAAAAGTCGCGTGGCCGCGTAAATTCCGGAACTTTGGTCTGACCAGAGACCGAATATCTTTTTTTTGGGCCTTATTTGAACATTAATTTTGTAATTCAAAGCCGTGTCATCTCTGAGTGATCCCAATTTTCTATTTTCCGGGTTTGCAGTATTGCTAATGTTGCTGGGATTTGGGTATATGCCCATGAACACGGATAGTGACAAAATGGGGAGTTACCAACATAGGGCTGGATAGCTCAGTTGACAGAGCACTGGAACGGTAATCCGGGGGTCGCAGGCTCAAACCCCGTTATACAAAGTTACTTTGTTCAAATTTACATGTTTGATTTACTTTAAAATTCCCCGAACTGCGATACAGTGAAAAGCATGATAGAAAATTAAATATTTTTTTTCTCTTTTAAAGGGCCCATGAAATGTAATTTGTTGAATGTAATTCTTGAAAATGCACCTTTGTGTCCCATTTCACCTTATTTTCAATTTTCATTTTGCCGTTTTTCAGGGGTATTTTGGTGCCTTTTTGTTTTTTATGTTAGTGCAAATTTCCATATTCATGAGCAAAAGCGTGATGACATATCAGGCAGAACCCTTAATGTTGCAATTGGCTTGTACACACACAGTTGCCAGAATTTTGGATATTTCGCTGTTGAAAGTGTTCTTTTCTTCGGTGATTCGTTGTTGTGTTAGTACATGGCAGTAAGCCAATGAGCAAACCTTTCTCATAAATGTTATCAATGAGCAGATGTTGGGGTTCACATTTGTAAACAACTCCCTTAGACTGAACGGTGTCTCCATGAAATGACATTACGGCAACAGCGCCCTCAGTTGTTCCAAAAGCTTAGAAAACTTTAGATGTTTAAACAAATGCACTTTTGAATAAAATAAACCAAAAAGGTTTGTCAAATAGTTTCATACATTTAAACAGAGTAAGAAGTAGCCAAAAATGTGTTTCTCGGAAAAATCATTTCATGAACCCTTTGAAAAACACGATGGAACAGAAGCCTATGCGGCATTGTTATCTTTCAGATTATATATTTTTCTTGAGTGTTT